AGAGAGAGAGAGAGAGAGAGAGAGAGAGAGAGAGAGAGAGAGAGAGAGAGAGAGAGAGAGAGAGAGAGAGGTGGAGTTTTAATGAAGTTTTTTCATCTGGGCTGATGGTGCTCCTTCCAAAAGCCGAGACCACCTAACAAAAACCACAATACCAGACATGAGAAGCCCTCATTTGAGTTGTTGGCTAGGGCTGTCCAAGAAACTCTCAAAACACAGTCTATTGCTATTGCCCTTGATTGCTCCTTAGATGGAAGGTAATTCCCTATGAAACAGATCCCAGAGACCCCATGAGCTGGAACTGACATGGATGTCCCCTCTTCAGGACTAGCTCCCATGGTATTAGAAGGCAACATTCAAACTTCCAAAGGAGGGAAGCAAGCAACATATCCAGCTATGATGGCTAAGCACCACAATGGTGAATCAGCATTGAACTATAACCTTCAAGGTGCAGTAGTGGCACACTTATCTTGGAGGTCCAAATCAGCTCTCTAATTGGCCTTACAACTCATTTGAGAAGAGGAAAATTATGCCTGGTACTGGATACCTAGCTAACTACTCAGAGCTAGTGAACTCATGGTCGTTGGGGAAATCTATAACCACTAATTTACTAAACCATCATAATACCTAGCGACATTCTAAATACTTATACTTATAATACCCACAGATAAGTGTAGTCTTCACCTCATAAAGAAAACTCTTTACAACAGAGAAGATTACAGAAAACCACAACCAATCAAAGTTCAGAGTTATGGATCCAGTATCAATAGATACATCTACAAAACATTCCTGCTAGTAAGGCTCAGGAAACACTTTGAAGAGGTGAGAAAAAGGATTGTAAGAGTCAGGGGATCAAGGAGTTTGGTGTGACACTGTGTCTCTTGGTAATATCAGAACCTAACTGCTGAAAGATGAGCTGAACAAGGATGGAACCCATGGACATACCAAAATGGATGGGGAAAAGCTCACACAGCCTCAACCCTATACAAAGAACTATAGGCTATACAAAGAACTGAGGAAATCTGGGGGTGGGGGGTGGGAGGAGAGATAACCATCTCCAGAAAAGACCACACCAATTTGTCATCCAATGCCAAATGGTCAGCACTAAAAACATATACACTAGTAACATTATACAGACAAAACAGGTTATATTTAGGAATGTGTGTGTGTGTGTGTGTGTGTGTGTGTGTGTGTGTGTATGCAGTAACTATTAGTAAAAGGGGGATTATGATTTTGAAGGAGAACAGGGAAGTTTATATGGTCAGATATGAAGGGAGAAAAAGTGAGAGAGACATGCTGTAATCATAACATATCTTCCAGTAGCTCAGATTTCTCAAAGTAATCATGACTCAATTATAAGGTAGTGTCCTCTAATTCCACAGATGGTTCCATCGTTTTTCTTTCCCTCCCTCCCTATATCCCTCCTTCCCTTCCTATCTGTCTCCTTTCTCCTCTTCTTTCTTTCCTTCCTCTCATTCATTCATGTGTATATGTGTATTTGAATGCTTAAACATGTTGACGTGTAGTTAGGTACATATGTAGTAGAAGACAGAGGACAACCTTGGGTGTTGTCATTCCTCAGGTACCATATTCTTCTTTTTCCGAGAAAGTATCATTCACTGATCAGTGACCCACCTGTGTATCTCTCCTTGCTCTTGGAATTACATACATGCTATAATGCCTAGCTTTGTTTGGCTTTTATTTTTAACATGGAATCCAGGATCTTAGTTCACAAAGCCTCCAAGGTAATTATTTTACTGGCTGTGCTATCTATCTCCCTTGCATAGTATGGGTTATTTTAAATTAAATTGTTCCCATGTTTATGCCTTTAGACATTAAAAAAGAAAATAAATAAGTATTTGTAAATATTTGCAAAATCTTATAAATGTTTTGTACTGCTTACCAAAATAGAAGTATTTTTCTAAAATGCAAGGCAAATACATTACTATTTTAATAAGAGTAACCAAAATAAAAGGCAATATTTATCTTTTAATGTTGTAACTAAAATTATGCTCAACTGACCATCAGGGAAAGTTATTTCTAGATGATCTCTTCAACCGTATAAGACATTTTTAAACTGACTGCATGGAAAACACAGAATCTATACTAAGAGGCTGTGGAGGCTCATGCCATTCTCAACACATTTAATAACAAAACACCAAGCTTCTAAACCCTGATTGCAAGGCTACACAGTTAGGTATTTCCCCCATGGTACAATTCAATTAATTCTCCAACCTGGTTCTTCCAACCTAGCTTCTAGAGCACTTTGTTCTGGATGAATTGGTTTCTGCACATTTTAATTCTACCATCTCACATAAACTATTTGAAGCATGATTCCTTGAATTTGGCTGGCCAGTTCTTAAGTCCTGGCTTCTTTTCATACAATCACTCATGCAGGCATAGGCTAGAGAGTAGCTGATAAAAACAGAGGACATCTTAGGCATAGCATTACTGTTGAATTTGATAAAACACTCCAAAGGTAAACTAGCCAATATGGGTACAATACTCCATTACGTAGAATCAAAGCAAAGGGTGGCATCAGTGGAATGTTGAGTACCTGGCATCCACCAGAGGAGCCAGGTGAGAGTTTTCACCACTGGGTGGCAAGTTGGAGAGCACAGCCTTCCCCTCTAAGGTCCCATGATGAGATCTCTGAACACCATCTACTTCACAAATCTTCTGCTTCAGTTGATGGATTTCATGTTCTAACCTAAAAAGATGTGAACCAAAGAATACCATTAATTAATAGTATTACAGGAGGACATACATATGGAACTGTTCTAAAAATCGGGTGGGGGAGGCCGTTTGCAGCCAGAAACAATTCTAGTGCAAGGAGCTTTTCCTTCTAGTAGAAAAGATGTCACACACAAAAGACAAGGGATAAGTGAAACTGAGTAATGATAGGGCACAGGACAAGAGTTTCAGGCATCCAAGGTTCAGACCCTCAGCCAAAAGGACTTCTGCTATGTTGTAAGCAAGCCCTTTAAGGCAGTTACCCTGATTTTCAATCCCTTAAACTATGAGTCAACAAGAGTTGGTTGTGGACTACATACCAAAATTCTGTTAAATACTTCTGCTTGACAAGATCTATACAAAGCAGCTCTGGGCTGAGTCTTCAAAGGTCATTGCAGTATGGGCATTGTTATCTAATGACAGAAAATGCTCCTGGGCCAGAAACTAACCACAGCAAAGAGACTGTGCCACAAAACCCAGGAAGACACTTCGGGCAAGAATGAGAAGGAGAACCAGGGGAGACAGATCTAAGAAATAAAGTCAAGTGGCATGAGAAATTAAAATGAGCCACAAATTGTGAAAACAAAACATTATTGCAGATAATAATTTATTTATCTTATAAGGTCTGAACTACATGAATAGCTGACCAAGGTGAACTTGAATCCTGAACAATCAGGCTGAAAAGGTCAGGCATGCTGGCAGACTTAGCTCCAGGAACATAAGACTCAGCAGCTGAAGATTATAGTCCACTCACTCTGTGAATACAGACCGGTATTAGATCTGGATTTCTACTTCTTGGGGGATCAAATAAGCTCAACTAATCTCCTTCATTTTCTAAATCTCCAAAAATCAGAGATATTTGTGTCAAATGCTAACGCATCTTGATACTGCCAACCCTCTGGTGCCACCATCAGCAACTTCACGGCTTCATCCTGAACATGAAGGCCATATTCTTAATTCTCCAGATGTGATTCTGGGGTTAGTGGGGAAAGCACTCGTGGATTCCATAGGAGAAAATGTTCATTCAACTCAGGTCTTATTTATTTACCAGAAAGCAGAGGTTTCTTGGGCATTCATTTGCAAAACATTTAGTATTTTCAAGAGAAGGGAGAATTAACATCAAAGAGATGTATAACGAGCTGGGCATGGGTGGTCCTTGACTGTAAATCTGGGAGGTAGAAGTACATCAGGGGTCATAGTCATCCTTGCTATATAGCAAGTCTGGGGCCAGCATAAGTTACATGAGGCCTTATCTCAAAAACACCACCACCAACAACAAAGAATGGTGTGAGGTGCCAAATAGATGGCAAAGAATCAAAAATTTGTATGAACAGGGTCTCAGCAGTAGCAAGCAGGATGCAAGCAGAAGACAGCAATGAACAAGACTTTTCTGTCAAATAGGACAATACACAAAGCACATACTGTATGAAAAACTGGCCTGTTTATATTTCAGCCACATAGCCAGTTCCCTGACAACTGGGGAAGAAACAGACCTAGATCAAGTTCCCAATCTGCCACTTCCTATCTATGTGTCACTAGTCTCGACTAACAATGTAACTTCCATAGGTGTGATGTCAATTTTTCAAAGGAAGACTCAAGGGTAACACACATATGATTTTAAACATATTTTGAGTTATACAAGCTTACTCTTCATGGAGGGTCATGTCTATAAAATCATCATCATTATTTTTGAGGATTCTAATAATAGAACTGATCAAATGTGAGATTAGCAGTTTTCATCTTATCTTTCCTATGGTGACATGAGAGCTTTCTCGTAGAACTGCCTGACGCATGTCACTGTAGGCCGAAATGAGGAGCAAAGGATAGGAAGGCAGTGGCATGGACTAACCTGTTCATAAGACACTGAGGAACCAATGGGAAGTGTTCATTGCTGTTTTGTCCCATCTAGTGCTACACGGCTTCAATATTTTGGGCAGTCTCACAAGGGGCCAGGTCAGGCTGCACAGACAATCCTGGCTTAACCATGAGAAGCCAGAAAGAAGATAACACGCACAGAGACACCTGCAGAAAGCTGCTGGAGCATTACAGGCAGACCAAAGTGCCCAGAATTCTTCAGCTCGAATTAGATATTAGTGAAGTCTATTTCATCAGAACTCATGAACTGCATTCTTTGCAAGGTTTCTCGAGGACTGCTGACACTGAAGAATCACTTCCATGGAGATTTCAAAACCATGTACATTACACTGTATTAACTAAATGGCTGGTTGACAAAAGTCAGGGACATCAAGCTAAAAGCTCAGGCTGTCTCTTACTGCTCGCTGCAGGACACAAATTGAGAGCATGCCCTCTACTACTTTAAATTTCCTGGGGCTACAGCTTTGTCCAGAAATTTCATTTACATATCATACCTGCAATCATTGTCTTAAACCTCTGACCCACTTCTCTGAAATAGTAACATTATAGTTTTGATTGTTATTTTGTTTCTGTTTGGCTTGAAGAAATTACCAGAGAGTGACTGTAAATGGAATACATAGGATAAACAGGTCACTTAAAAGGAAGCTGTATTGACCTCCTGTAGGACTGTGAAAGGCAGCCTGGTTTCTGGTTGAGCACAGCTAGAAACCACTTTAGTCACATCCTCCTAGCCCTCCCCCCCCATAAGTTGTGACCTCAGGTCACCTAACGGCCAGAGGGGCAAAGCCAATTAAACATTTTTTCCCAGACCCTCCTCCCTGCAAAAGGTATTTAACCTCAGGCCTGCCCTGAGGGAATAGGAGTAAGTAGGAACAGTTTCTCATCTACTTTCTGCCATGACAATAAACATCTTAAGACCATGGACTGCTTCTCTTCTTCGGGATCCACAGTAGAGAACAGTGGAGCAGGCCTTCACCTACAGAGCCACTGTCTAATCTCCCATAGAAGACCTCTCTGCATTCCTAGCCATGGAGACCACCAACCCAAGCAAGCCAAGCGAGACTTTCATCCCCGAAGGACACAGCTGGAGCTTCTCTCCCTTTCTCTCCCTTTGGCTGCAGGCTAATCCAGCCCATATGCCCCCACTGTATTCTCAGCCCTTCTGTGGCTTCCATAGCCTTACGTGGGTGTCCAAGTGCCTGAGGACCAGATGAGCTAGCTCCAGCTCCCCGGGACTGAAGACTGCACTCTCCCACCCCTGGAGTGGGGTCCTGCAGCTCCACATAGCATGACACCCCGCCTGGCTCAGGCATGGGGAGAGTACAGTCAAACTTCCTACATGTCTCTGTCTCCATGAGTGACCCTAGCCCTATGTCAGGACAGATGCAGGACGCACTTTAACCAAATAACCCTGTCTGGGACCCACATACCATAACCCAACAATCTCCTCATAAGATGATGGGTGAAGGATTCAGTTAACACTTCTGAGAGGACTTGTCTCCATGACTAGACCTATGCCTCTGCCAAATGCCAAGTTGGGGTCTTAAGGCTAATAGTCACCCTTCTGTTGATTACAGGTGGAATATGATGGAGTTCCAAGCCTTCCCACATGGGCTTCTGGCAAGAATTATGACCAGAGGCAGGGCATGGTGGTGCATGCCTTTAATTCTAGCACTCCAAAACCAAAGGCAGACAGATATTCATGAGTTGGAGGGCATGAGTAGCAAGTTCAGCCGGATAAACACAATGAATGACAGTCTTCAAAAAGAAGAAAACCCTATAAACACAAGTTCCCTGAAAAAGCCATACCTATGTTGAAGATTCTGCTGATTAATAGACTAAATAGACTAATTAGCAATTAGTGATTATGGAGAGTTGATATTTTACAGATAGAGAGCTATTTGGGGCAATCTTTATTTCCATTAACAGTCATTTATCAGTTATGTGTATATCTGGCCCACCAATCTTTTGATGCTTAAGATAAATCCCTTGGAATTAGTCACTAAACGTGACATGGCTATCCTTCACCAATCCAATAGATGACACTCTCATCAGCTAACATCTATAATCTACAGTTGAGAAGAAAATAGACTTAAGTGGCCAAGGTCATCTAAGTAGTAAGAAACAAGCCAATCAGGGTATGTCTCCACTTTGCAAACTGGGTTACAGTCACACACAAGGTGACCTTTAACCTCCCTGGGAGTCTTAGAGTGACTACAGGGTATCAGAAAAGATGAACTCAGATTAATATATTTACTTATTTTCAGAGCCTACCTACCTCTTGTAATCATGTCAATAGAATAGAAAGCTAAATATTCTTTCTTTACCATGAAAAGAATGCTTGTTTCCTAGTTTTCTTTGTAAGAGCATCCTAAATAGTACCTATATATCACAAAACATGTTTGAATGAATGCCCATTGAGTATGGAATCATTGGGAGGATATGCTTGCTGACTTGGTTGGTTGGTTTTCAGAACAGTTCTGAGGCCACCTCTAAAATGGTTAACTTTAAGGGTGAGATATCTACCTGGTTTCAGTTCTCTTCAATTTGTAGGAACCATCTTGGAATCCACAATACATGAACTCACTGTAACCACCTATAAACTGCTGGTCACCAAGAAGATATGAAATACTAGTGAAGAAGGACATGGTGGGAAGAAATCATGGAAGGAGAAGCTAAGGAAACAGAGGAGCAGCCAGGGAACAGCCAGGGAATGGGGAAGGGGGTAGGGTAAAAGATAAAGAGTGGGAATCTAGGTTGAATCTCTACCCATATACTGCACTTGTCAAACAATTAAAACACATTTCACAAGTCATTTTAGTGAAGGACCAGGACTTTTGTTTATGTCTTCTCAACTTTAGGCCAATGATTCTAAAACAAGGATCTTGAGAAAAAACAAGAGAATTTTTATTGTAGTTGGGATTGAACATAAGACGCCTTCTCTAACTAAACAGAGAAGGGGGAGATGCCAGAAGCCAGGACCCTCGCCCTTACCCTTACCCCCTACCTTTCCCCACCTGCACAATGTCCTCTGAAGCTTGGCAACTGCAAGATCCTGCTTAGCAACTGGAGATAGACTCAAAGCAGAGTACCATGTCTTCTTAAGAATAGTAGGGAGACCATAACTCAAGCAGTGTACCATATCTTCTGAAGAACTGCAGGTAGATCGTAATTCAAGGCAGTGTACCATATAGACCATGACATGTTTCAAGGCACAGGCCAAGAAGATTTTGTACTTTTCCACCACCTGGACCCTCTTACCCCCTCCCCTTGTAAAACATGCTATAAAAAAGCATTTCATGTTCAAAAAAAAAAAAAAGAAATTTAAAAAAAAAAAAAAAGAAATGCAATAAACAAGGTAAGGCAGGAAGAATGCCCCAAGGGAAAAAAAAAAAAGAAGAAGAAAAGCAAGAGTGCTTTTGTTACATTGAAGTAGTGTTTTGTTTTGTGTTTTAGTTGTTTGCCTGTGTATTAGAGAGATGAAGCCTACAAGAAACACTCCTCTACAAAGACAGTAAAAAAACATAAGAGGCAGAAAATGAACAAACACTTGGTGTCTACCCTATGCCTGCTACTCTACCTTAATCTTACCTTGCAGGGTCCATCTCAAGTGCTTCTCCATCGGCCTCCATACTGGCCTGCAGCCCTAACCACTCGCTGGTATGGAAAGAGTCAAGTTTCTGCCTCTGCTCCTGGATCTCCAGGTCCAAGGTGGAACGCCTCTGCAGGGCAGAGCGCCTCTGTTCTAGCTTAGCCACAGCCTGCTCCAATGCTTCTCTTTGCTGCTTCTCCTGGGACTCCAGTATTTCCTTTTCTTTTCTTCTCACTTTCTCTTCCTGTCTGGCCACGTTAGCTGTGAACTCGAAGGTGGCCCGGAGCTGTTGCAGCTGGCTAGCGTTAGCCTGGTACTGTGTAATCTGCTCTTCTTTTTCTTCCATTTCTTTCTCTACCTGGTAGAGAGTGTTGTCTAGGCCTAGGACACCACTGTCAAGGATGTCATGCACTCTCTGCTTTTCCTTCAGCAGAGATGGCAAACGATTTTGCAGAAGGTCCCATAGCTGGTGCTCTTTGCTCTGTAGCCTGGATTCTGCAGTTTTTATTTTGTCTAGATTCCAAGGCCCACAGAGAATGTTGCAATTATCTGTTGCCAACAAGCTCGGTTCCTCACCTGCTTCATATTTTACATGCTCCAGGGCTTCTTTCTCTTCTTGAACTTCTTTGCTTAGGAGGTCTTTCTGTTGGATCAGGTCTTTCTCCAGGGTTGCTAGCTTAACAAACTGCCTTCTCTTGAACTCTAAGAAGTATTGCTGAGCCCTTTCCAGTTCATCCCTGCAGGTGTGGTCCCCTCCTGCTCTGATCTCTTTAGCCTGCAAGAGCGCTTCCCGGATGCCTTCCAGTTCCCTCTTTTCCTCTTGGGCCCACTGGGCCTCTCCAGGACCCAGCAGCAGAACAGTGTCCTGCCTCTTCCGAAGCTGCTCCTCCAGGTGTGCCACCCGCAGCACCTGCTCCTTCTCTTGCTCCTCCAGCCTCCTTTTCTCCAGCTGCAGCTTGGCACTCTGGGCATCTTGCTCTCTGTGCAGACGGTCCAGCTCCTGGAATATCTGGACCTTCTCAGCTTCCTCGTGGCTGTTGAGCTCTTGGAGCCTACGAAGCTCTTCTCTCATGAGGAGGAAGCTTTCTTCCTCCTGCTTCCTCTGCTGCTCAAGTCCCTGCTGCTCCCGAAGCCTCTCTTCCTCAAACCTTTCCTTCTCAGCCAGCAGATCCTTGAGCTTGTTTTCAATGTGGAAGCTACGGCGTTTGAGGCTTTCCTCCTGCTTGCGGATCTGCTGCTGCACCATCTCTGTTTCCTTGCGCCTGGTCTCTACCTCCTGCTGCATTCGCTCCAGCTCAGCCTTGTCCAACTTCTGCTTTTCCTCCATCTCTTCAATGAGTTTCCTGCAATGCAAATGCTGATTGGTCACTGTTTGATCACTATGCTTAGGTTAGCTTCAGTCCAACTTTCCCCTAACAGGATTGTTCTGAAAATACACTGGCAACATAAAGCCAAACCTTCCACTGAAACAAATGAAAAGGAAGTGCTTCTCTTTCAGATTTTCAGAAGCATTCTACATCATTTTTATTTTATTTCTTATCCAGTGTTTCAGCTACCTAGCCTCCTGAAGTAGATACTGGTATCATTTCTTTGTGAAGTCTAGAATCATAAAGTGTTATGTATGGTATAATGAAAAGCGCCCCCTGAGGTCAATGAGAGAAACACCATGTCTAATTTAAATTTGAATATGACTAGTTATTTCAGCTCAATGACAACAGACATTCAGTTACAAGATGATGTTAAGTGAAAAACAAATTTTTTGCCATCTTCAAATCAGTGGGGGTTGAGTAACAAAGTCAAAATAAATAAAAAGTAGTTGTGGATTAACATCTCCTGACCCTCCAAACTTCTGATTTGAAGGAAGCTGGACACTAAACTCATTCCCATGAGATATTTACTCCCAAATTCTAGAAAATAAATAACTATGTTTCAGATCCTCTCCAACTTTAACTTCTTCTTCACTACCTGCCCTTGATCTACTTCCTGACTTGTTAAATAGAACAGGGGAAAAGAGAAAATATGATTGAATTACACAGAGGATAGTTTAGAACATATCTCAATTAAGCAGCCATATAGAGATAGATAGATAGATAGATAGATAGATAGATAGATAGATAGATAGA